TCGTGCTCTTTTTGAGTGGTTTAAAACCCCGGTTCCGCCTTGGGCACCACTCCTCCTATCCTCTGGATACCTACTTAACAGGGTGTTGCTACTAAGGGTCTGTTGAGACAGTTCCTTCAGCACATACAAAGAGAAACGTGCGGTAGCCCCTGTGTGACAGGCCAAGACTTAGTGTGATACTAGGTTCTTGGTCGTATCCCCTTAAAGGAATCCATTATGATTCCAAGCCTTGAGCTCTACCCCCGGCCCAGGAGTCTGGCCCTAACAGGTAAGTATTTTTGGGTATGTAGCCTAGGCCTTTGGCCGTAGGGGATAAAGTCACGGACAGCCGTCTGACGTCCCAGGGGCAACTCACCATGAAAATGGTAAAGTTGGTACTTAGTGCTCGCCATGGTTCTGGCCCGCACTCCCCTCAGCATGGCTGCGTGGGTCTACCGTTCCCCATAGCGCCCCTAGAGGACGCAGTTCGAAGTTCCCTTGAAAGGGAACGTCTCAGGTTACTTATGTAACCATGGTTCCCTGAGTAGTCCTCTAGGCTTCCTGCCATGCTTCGAACGCAAGCTTCAGACGAAGAAGTGAATGACATGTTCTCCCGGCGCCTATTTATACTATAGTCGCACCAGTAGTGACGTCATGGGCTGTCGCCGGCCAACGTGTTGTTGGTGTTTTTTCAATGTATGCTTCAGACACGGGTCACGACGAGGCGTTCCCCATAGCGACCCATAGAGGACGCAGTGTCTCGTTCCCTACTCAGGGAACCATGGTTACATAAGTAACCTGAGACGTTTTGCTTTGTTTCACAGAACTAATCGTTGCCTGGGTTGCGTACGTATATGTGGGGCAGAGCTATCAAAATAGGGGCAAGACCCTTTTGGGGTAGGGGCGTGTTTGTTTTGGTGATTTCAAATATCAACATTGGCTACCAGAAATCGCTTACTCTGCCTTTAAGTTTACGGACCTGTTGCTATGACAGCAACTCAGCAATGAGCTTCGAAGAACCAAATAATCCAAGATCATGCCAAATATATACAAATACTGTATATATATGACCACAATAATATTTTGTCCAAAAATAAATATTGTTGTTTACATAGTTCATAGTTAGTTAGTTAGTTCACTGGAGTTGTTACTTCGTTATTCACCTTTCTTGAGAAAAACTCTTAAAATCCAGTCAGCATCCAAAATGACTTTGAATTTTTTTTTTTCTTTTCTTTTCTTTTCCTTCATGATAAAGATATTTCTTATTCAGATAATTCTCATTTCTTAACAGTATTTTTCCTGAGATTTACTGGACAGGGTCTTCCACACATCCTCTTTTTGTGTCATTATTTTCAGTTGTGCATTTGATTCTTGACACACAGCTGGTATGAGGTTTGTGAATATGGGTGTCCATGTTCGGCGGACTGCTGAACCAGCAGAACCAGAACCTGAACCACAACCAAAACCAGAACATGAGCACCATCCTGCTCACCCAACTCATCATGACTATGAATACATGAAGAACAAGTTCATGAATGAACTGGAACATCTTCCATGTAAGTACCTACACTTAGCCCTACATTAAAATAAAAAAGCAAGACTTAAAAAAAAAGCACAAAATTAATAGAGTAGGTATAGATCAAACAGTTAATTTATTACATTTATAAATAATTATATGAAGTTCAACTCACTGCATTTAATTTCATTAAAATACAGAATACACTGATTTTGTTGTGATTGTATATCCTTCACAGGACACAATACCATTCTTCATTTTCATTTTCTTCTCTGACTCGTTATCGGCATTTGATGAGAAGTCAGATTACATAAAAGGAGCACTTTGATTTATAGTGTTTGTTCAGCTTTACAGATGATGATAATTTCAAATTAAAAGTACATTGAATTGATGTGACACAACACTAAGCGACAATTGTCCCGTGTGATTTATGTCCTGTACCTGTTTCCATGGAGACTGACCAGCTCTCTGTTCTCTGTAGTGCCGATGTGGGCTGTAGCAGCCATTGTAGTGGTGGTTCTCGCCCTTGTGGCTTGTTTTACATATTGCATTTTCAAGAAATGCTTCGGCAAGAAGAAGAAATCCAAGAAAGCTAGAGAGAGGAAGAGAGCAGGACGGAGAAAAATAGAAGGGACTGAAGGAGAGGGTAAAGGAGAACAAAAGGTGCAAGAAGAAATACACAAATACAACCTCAATTTGAAAGTTTTTTTTTAATCATGTTATAAAAAAGGTAACACTTTACAGCAAGGTCTTATTAGTTAACAGTTATTAGTTAATGCATTAACTAACATTAACTAACAATGAATACAACATTTGTTACTGTAATTATTTATATTTGTTAATGTTTGTTAATTAACATGAACTGAGATTAATAATGCTTTAGAAATATGCATTTAAATAATGTAGAGTGTTGCCAAAATTATGTATGTGACAGAATAAAAATAACTGTATAGCTAGATTTATGATTTACGTTAAACACATCATAATATCCTTTGTTATTTAAAATTTATTTTCATATTCCATGGACATACTGTATAAAATATGACTATCCATCTTTGCAGGAGGAAGGAGTAAAAAAGGAGGGAGAAGTGCAAAAAGAGGAGCAGGAAAACCTTGGAAAACTGGAATTCTCTTTGGATTACAACTTCACTGATGCTCAGGTGCCTGATGTATTAAAATCCTTATTAGAAATGTACCATAACAGGTAGCTAGTTGAGTTGCAATGACGTCATTGTAACAAGAAAATGGAAGGAATATGTTTAATTTTGTGTCAACAGCTGATAGTTGGAGTTCTTCAGGCTCAAGACCTTCCCGCTATGGATATTGGTGGTACATCTGACCCATATGTGAAAGTTTACCTGCTTCCAGACAAGAAGAAGAAATTTGAAACCAAAGTCCAGGGCAAAAACCTGTGCCCTGTGTTCAATGAGACCTTTATCTTCAAGGTTTTTCCTGTTCAGTGTTTTTGTTTGTTTACAAAGTACAAAGCCAGGTTCTGACGTATGCACATGATTATGTATCTCTTACAGTGAACATGTGGCTTTTCAGTATGATTCGTAACATCATGTAGTTTTGTCTTTTTGAGTGTTCTGGTGTCTGTTTAGTTCCACCTGTAGTTTGTCCATTTCTCTCCCTCTCTCAGGTTTTGTGTCAGGGTTTTGTCTCCTTGTGTGGCATCCTAAGTTCCCAGAAATCCCTGCTTCCCTACACTGGTTTTGTGATTCATTTGTTGATTGACAGCTATCCAGGTAAGTGAGGTTATATACATCTTTTAAGGAAAAATTCAATTAAAAATGAACTTAATATTTTCATATTTATTATAATAATTCTGATTTATTCATCATTATGTTGTTCCAAACCATACAACTGTTCTTTCCAAATGTTCATGTCAAGTCAAGTCAAGTCAAGTCACCTTTATTTATATAGCGCTTTTAACAATACAGATTGTGTCAAAGCAACTGAACAGCATTAATTAGGAAAATAGTGTGTCAATAATGCAAAATGACAATAGTAAACACAAATGTTTCAGTTAAAGGCAGTCCAATAAGAGCAGGTCATTTGTAACTCTAATGAGATGCTGTCATTTTCATACAGCGACAGTTTATACTATAGTGACCACGGCTGCCACATGGTCACCATAGACTGCCTTTTTATGGAAAATACCTGCATAAACATTCTGAAGTTTTGATGACTAAAAATTGAAAAAAAAAATTTTTTTTGAATGTTTTGTTTGCCTGCATCAGGTAACATTTGTTTTATTTTTGGGCTTGTCTGCATTTTAGAAAAGACGTCTCAATGTTTTTTTTAACACGTATTAACACTGGAAAAACACGTATTAACACTGGAAAACTGATTTACACAAAATGCTGATACACTAATTTGTGCTCATTTGTTTCTCTCACATATTCTTTGTTCCTGCCTCTCATCATGCATTATAGGTTCCCTATGCTGAATTGGGTGGTAAAACTCTGGTGCTTCAGGTTTTTGATTTTGATCGGTTTGGTAAACATGATGTGATCGGCCAGATAAAGATTCCCATGAATTGTATGGATCTCGGACAACCGCTACATGAATGGAGGGATCTCGAAAATGGAGAAAAGGAGGAGGTACATTTTATTTTCTGTCAATATTTGTCTTTATTTTGCATGACTGGCTTGATTTCTCAGGTATGCCATCATCCATCCCTGGATTTTTAAACTGTATATTCTATATTTGGAACTATGATCTTTTTTTTCTTTCTCTTCAACAGGAGAAGCTTGGAGACATTTGCATTTCTCTGCGTTATGTCCCCACTGCTGGTAAACTCACCGTCAACATAATGGAGGCCAAAAATCTAAAAAAGATGGATGTTGGTGGTTTATCAGGTACAATTCAAGATTACATTTAAAAAATTAAATTAAATTAAATTTGTACTATTTCATAGTTTTGAATTCTATTTTTCTAAAATGTGGAAAATACTGCTAATTAAGAATGAGCAGGTGTGTTCAAACTGACTGAATAATACATTTAATTTATTTACAGTTGGCTGAATGTTTGTGTGTGTGTGTGTGTGTATGTGTGTGTGTGTGTGTACCTGTTTTTCTATTCTGGTGGGGACTTAAACCTGAATACACACAGACTCATGTGGACTTGTGCCTATATTGAGGTCCCCACGGGTAAACAAGCTAATAAATCACACAGAATTAAGTTTTTTGAAAATCTAAAAATGCAGAAAGTTTCCTGTAAGGGGTAGGTTTAGGTGTAGGGTTGGTGTAGGGTGATAGAAAATACGGTCTTTACAGTAGAAAAAGCATTACGCCTATGGAGAGTCCCCACAAGGATAGCAAACCAGACATGTGTGTGTGTGTGTGTGTGTGTGTGTGTGTAAAAATGTTTTGTGATTTTCATTTGAACTACTTTAACAATGATCCTTCTTCCTGTGTCAGATCCGTATGTCAAGATTGTGTTACAGCATAATGGAAAGCGTCTGAAGAAGAAGAAAACTACAGTTAAAAAGAACACATTGAACCCATACTTTAACGAGAGCTTCAGCTTTGAGGTCCCATTTGAACAGATTCAGGTGATGTGTGACCATTCTTACATCTGATATAACCTTTTTTTTTTTGCAGCTATCACTCTGCTTGGTTTTGTAAGTTAAAGACGTGATGATGAATTGTTGCTCATTTTGGTGAGAGCTAAACCAGTACAGACAATATGACAGTAATTTTAGCAAATATAAAATGAGATAAGAATTAAATATTCTCTTCTCCACTTCATTAATAGCTATGCAAATGACAACAGTTAAAATGGTTATATTTATATAAATAGATTGCTATAGTCAAAAAACAAGTTTGTTTTGTTCCACTTTTGTATTCGTAATGCTAAAGTCACTTTGTGTTTGAAAATGCAAATCAAATTAAAAAGATGTATCATTTGTTTCTTGTGTGTGCTCTATTTAACTACATTTGAATGCCAAGGACCCTCTTATGATGGACTGTCTTTATAAAAATCAAAGCCATAAAGGAGCAATATGTTTTTCATGTAAACAACATGTCAAGTTCTGTCATGAAACTCTAGATGGCGCAGGCTGATGGGTCCTTAACACAAACTGATGATATTCACAGTGTTAAACTACTTTGCACAAGCTGATTGGTTCATGATGCATTCACAGCCAATGACTTTGCTGAAAATGAAAATTCTGTCATTAATTACTCACCCTCGTGTTGTTCCAAACCCGTAAGACCTTCGTTCATCTTCGGAACACAATTTAAGATATTTTTGATGAAATCCGAGGGCTCTCTGACCCCCCCCCCCATAGACAGCAAGGTAACTACCACGTTCAAGGCATTTTAAATGACTGGTTAGTATTCACTAGAGCAGGGGTTCCCAACCACATTCCTGGAGCCCTGCAAACACTGGATGTTTTCCATGTCTCTTTAATCAAACACACCTGATTCAGATCATCAGCTCATAGAGACTCCTAGACATGAAATGGGTGTATCAGACAAAGGAGAAATGCAAAATGTGCAGTATTGTGGGGGCTCTAGGAACGTGGTTGGGAACCACTGCACTAGAGCATTTCGCAGTGCATTCCACCTTCCCCAGCTCCACCTGTATAGATCTGCTACGAGTTATTTTATATGCTATTTGTGCAGCAGCAGTATGTCTTAAATACTCACAGCACTATATCGGCATATGTATTGGAAGTAGCAAGTTCTTGTATACTCCCAGAAATAAAGGTACAACAGCTGTCACCTGGGTTGTCCCTTTTTAAACGGTACACTTTTGTACTTATTAGGTTCTAATATGTACACATTAAGTACTAATATGTACCTTTAAGGTACCAAAATGGACCCCTTAGATACAAACATGTACCTTTTGAAAAGGTACCACCCCAGTTGTCATGATATAAATTATATTATGAACACAAGTTGTTGCATAATGCAGAATTACTTTGCTGGCTGTTCTATTGTCATATTATTAGCAAGTGTGACATAAGAAGGGAAAAACTTGATGTAATTGTAAATATGCAGTAAAACAATAATAGAGTGTAAAAAATATTACATTAATTTCTATAAGATAAATTGCACTCATGGAGTGTGAAGCATGATTGCTTTTATTAACACATTAGTGGTTAAGACGTGTGACATTACAAGAGAGTATTCAAATGCATCATCAGCTACACAAGCAAAAATAAAACAAAAAATAAGATGCTTCAAGCAGAGTAAAACTTTTGCAAGATTACGCAATTGCTGAAATGATACAATCTGAGCATTGAGGAAAATGGAGTTAACACATCTGAGAAATGATTGTGCTCTAAGTAATAGCAGTGATTCATTATCATATGTGTTTAATTTAAAATCGGAGGTGCTGATGACAATATTTGTAGCTTTTTGCTGCTTATACCTGTTTTGCTTATTATAACTTTTGTGTTCTTAGGTCAATAAATGAGGCTAAGGGTTCAACGCTCATTGGCCCATTACAACATTACCACACATGTCCACCAGGGGGCGTACAAATGTTACACAAACAGTAGTTTTAAATGGGTAAAGAGCACTGGTGCCTTTGTTGTTGAGCATGCCTGCAGTGCCATTCTGAAACCAAGATCATTTTATAGATATTTATACTTCTTTTATGTCAATATGATTTGAGAGTTTCCAGTAAACCTCATGCAACAGGACAAAAACATGTATTCGCATAATCATTTTGGATGTTTAAATGCTGTTTCATTTTCTTCTTTTTTATACTATTGACTATTTGTGTAGTTTGTCACATTGAGACCAAAAATAATCAATGTAACAGTTTGACTACCACAGTCTGTTGTAAGGAAATGTAACATTATTAATTAAACTCTAAGATATATAAAATATTTTAAAAAATGAGCACTTAGCAATACTTCAGGTTTTCATATTTTGGTTTGTTCCTCCACCTTCTATAAAAAGTGAAGAACAGTCTGTGGCTCTACATGTGAGACTACAACAAGAAGGAAAATAATTGGTCACACTTTATATTAGATGGCCTTTACTACTACTGTATGTACTTAATAATTTGATACAATATATCTATCATTTCATTAGTTACACTGTTAACTGTAACCCAACCCTTACTCCTTAACCTATCCATAGCCCAAACTCATGAGCAGTAAATGTGGGAATGTGGTTACACAGTCGATCCATAGTATTGTAGGTATTTAATGTTAGTACATAGTAGTTAAGGCCACCTAATATAAAGTGTGACCAAATAATCTTCAAGAACAAAAGAACCACCTGTCCAACAAGTCTGTTGTTCATTTGATCAAGCTATCCGTCTGTTATCTGTTTCATATAGTTGCAATTTTATGTTCATGCTGTCCATCTAGCACAATAATGTTCCCAGATACCATGTTGCATCTTATTGGTTGGCACGCCTAGTCCCCAGCCCTTATCCTTAGCAAACAAGATGAACTCAAGGAACTAAGTTACTTGGACTAGTACAGTAAATCACTCACTCGCACAAACGTTAGGTGAATGGAGTCACCTTAAATTGGAAACATTCTGCTGCTATAAAAGATGCAAATACACACATGCAAAAAGACACATTCACATTCTCCTGCAGAATCCAATATCTGGACTAGCAGTACAGCACACACGCTCAGGGCGCCTACACACTAGAGGTTATGCTATGTCAGAGAACGCTGAAAACACTTTAATGGGGATGGTGCTCCACAAAGATGTAGCAGAAAACAAGCAGGGTTTGGCAAAACGGATGCTCTGTTAAGCATCCAAAACTCCTTTAGGCATCAATTAATTGATCAGAATCTCAGAGATGAGCTTTCAGAAATCAAATTTGACTCGATACCAATCTAAGCCTTCCATACTGTCTTACCAATATAACATTCTGTAACAAGTTTCTCTAATGTGTAAGCACCCAAAAACACACACAAACACTAATCGCTATCTCTGTCATGGTCTTCCACAAACACCAGCTCTTCTCCCCTCTCCAGTAACGCTCTCATCTCAGGGCTATCTTCTGTGTCGTCGTCTTCATCCACCATCTCGCCACCTTCCATCTCCATCTCCTCATCTTCTCTTCCCTCCATCACTGCATTCTCCACCTCCTCTGCTTCCCCAAAAACTTCCACCATCTCGGTTCCCTGGATCTCCACTTCTCCTTCACGGATCTTCTTCACATGGAAGGTGAACGGGGGAACCTTGTAGACGGCCGTTTTGGAGCGAGCATAGATGGTGTGGTCAGGAGTGAAAGACTTCACCATCTTTTTCTGCGAGGACTTGATCTTCTCCTTGCGCTCGGGGTTCACAGACATCTGATTGCCGAGTTTGCCCATCTTTTTCTCTATGTTGTGACGCGTTTTCTCCAGGTTCTCTCTGGTTTTCTGTTTGGTCTTCTCAAGATTCTCCTTGGTCTTCTGCTTGGTTTTTTCCAAGTTCTCTCTGGTCTTCATGCGAGTTTTCTCCAAGTTATCTTTGGTCTTCTGTTTGGTCTTCTCCAAATTTTCCTTGGTCTTTTGCTTGGTTTTCTCAATTTTGTAATTGGAGAAAACGGTTTTGATGTTCTGGACGCGTTGCAGGCTGCTCCGTTTGATGCGCTCTGCTCGAGACTCCTCAATGGTCTCCTCGATCTGCACCTCCTCTTCATCAGAGGACAGGTCCAGATGGACTTTCTCTTTGTCCTCTCCTCCTTCCTCTGCTGCCGCTTTGTGTTCACCTTCATCTTCTCCTTCCACAGGCTCTGTAAACTTCATGGACTTGGACACACTGACTTTTGAAGGTATTTTCACTTCGTCCTGCAGAGAGACAACAAAATAATCATGTAATTCAAATTCCTCAAAACATTTGTAAATGTACTTTCTTTCCATATCTAGATACGAAAATGAAGAAAATCAGTGGTGGGTCCTTTTTACTCAGGCCATGACTTAATAAAAAGCCCAACTATCACCTTCTGTACCAACATGCTACCATTATGCAATAACCACTGATACTTTCTGCTGAAAATGTAATCAGTTTTGTCCACAGATGTATCGCTCTCCTTAAAGAAAAGAAAAATTAATAAGCCTCCTTTGCCAAAAGTGTGTAACAGATCTCCAAAATAAGCACTGCCAAAACAATCAATGTCCTGTCTTTTTGTATCCCATTTAATGCCCTATTGTTCAGTCTCCGTACTAACATTAATGGTGACCTTGAACACATTCACAAAAGCACACCCACCCACATGCTGAATTCACAACAAAACCATTATTAGACAGAACATTTGATATCACTGGGGTAACTGATATGATTTTATGATGTTTGTAGGGTGACTACAAACATTATATTACGCAATTGTATGGTTTGTATCAGTTAAAAGGTCATTCTAAAAGTTACCTTCTGTATCCCTCATTAATACCAACTTTAGCAGGGAAATCCTGATGCAAACCTTTACTATTTGTTGTGTCAAACAAGCATGTGCATATGAAAGAGCTATTTTAAATCAATTCTAACAGAGGTTGACACATGGAGAACATGCACGACTCAGCCAGAGCTGAGAATTTTTGTTTTCTTTCTTTTGTTGTTCTTCCATTATTTCATCGCCCTTCCCTTCCCTTCCCTTCCCTTCCCTTCCGACCTGTCTCCCACCCACCCTCCTGCCCGACCCTAATTCCCAGCATTCCATCCTGCAAAGCCCCTCGTTCCCAAGCACACTCTTTTTCTACAGCACAATGCTCTGACTTGTTTGTAAAGGAGACATATTTTCCGTTAGTGTGATACATTGAGTCATCCCGTTTTGCTCTGTTAATGTCCCTGCCAACATTCCCAGACCAAACTAACAAATATAAAAATTTATTTTCTTGTTGTTTGATTTATTCTTTCCTCTGCATCGAGCTGGGAGAAATGATCTACACAGGTAAAGCAACAAACAAGCAAACAATGTGTTGGTAAGCTTATGGTGCTATAAGGTTCTTTGCTGCTACTGGAGGTTTTTGTATTTGTATGAGTTTTATACCCCAACCTCACATAAAAACAGACATATCATACTGAGACACAGTGTTTTCATTCATCCTACTTGTTGGTACTGCACATGGGGATAGACGTATTTTGAATTATTACACGGCTCTGTGGAATACTTGATTCTGATTGGTCAGTCCCGACATTCCGAGGTATGTTATCCCTCGATAACAACTGGTAAAAGCTGATAACACAGGCTCATCCGGGTAACTGAAGTCGGTGCTATACTCTTGCAAGGAACAGTTTTTCTTCGTGGAAGCTTTGCATTTGGTTAGCTAATAAAATATTAAAACTCAATTCAATATCATGGGTACAATTATTTAATTATGTCATCCTGGTATCACGGACTCGCTCTCTCGTTTCATACAAACGCTGCTGCTGCCATTTTGCGACGATTGTTTTTTACACTGTAATGGATTATAAGATAACTAACAAACTGGAAAGTTTTTAAAACATTTTCATCTTAAATCAATATATTTTATCGCTTGATTATTTATATAGTGAAATGTTGTGTAATAAGTGGTTTGACCGCACCGTATCTCTTAAATGTCCGTCTAGTTTGAACTTGCCGCTTGTTTGCAACTGCTGTGTTCACAGAAGTTTGCGTTCAAATATTTAAACTCAAATCAATATTTTGTGTCTAATTATTTACTTATTTGTGAAGCAGCCGTGTAATAAGTGGGATAATTTACATTCAACCGGTTGTTATCGCGGAATAACCCCCTTCAGGATGATACAAGACCCCTCCGAATCATGTCGGGCTCCTGATCACCCTCTCGGGGGTTATTCTGCGATAACAACTGGCTGGATGTACATTATCCCTTACTTATGTTGTAATATTTTGGTTGTTTCATGAAGATGATTTTATGTTTATGTTATGTCAAATAGAGAGAGAAGTGTAGAAGTAACCAATTATTAAGACCAACGAAAACTTTGTCAATGACAAAATTGGAGTTTTTGCAGCCAAATGGACTTTTGTGACTGCTCCCTCTACAAGTTTCACAGGCAAAATTCAATTTCTATTGTCATAAATGGCAGTGTACAGTATGAAGCACAGCTCACACAGAAGTCACTATCAAACCAAGCAACTTTTATGAATCTTTCATGAACTTGATATGAGTGAAATCTGCCTGCAGCTCTTATGCCCTCACACAAAACCCCTGATTGCACAGATTTATATAAAAATGACTGAATTTTACCCACAAAATTTTGCCAGGCACAATAATTTTATCAAAATATTTGGTTACACATTATTTCGATAGTCCACTTTAGACATTCTATTAACTTTAAGTTACTTTGTAACTACATGTCAACTACATGTCAACTAATTCTCATTAATTTGCAACTACATGTCTACTAACTCTCAGAGTACACTGTTAGGGTAGGTTTAGGGTTAGTAGAATAAGTTGACATATACTTGCAAAGTTTCTGATAGTCAGTATGTTGCATGTAGTGGACCCATCAAAATAAAGTGTTGGAAGATATTAAGCAGACAGTCTACTAATACTCTAATGACTGCTAGTTGACATGTAGTTGCAAAGTTACTTACTGTTAGTAGAATGTCTGAAGTGGACTATCAAAATAAAGTGTAACCAAATATTTTTTTCTCAAACTATTTCTCTGGGTCTAAGTAAAGACTTTTTTTTTGTTTATTTGTCAGCTTTTCGCATGTATCAAATAAACCAGTGGAGATCTGACGGGAGAGAGGTCGTGTTGCAGGCTTGATACGAATCAAGCACAATAGCTTCTTACGATATGACAAACAATGTGCTACCCTAATGAATTTTAAGGTAATGAACTTGATGCTAATGCTAACATGCTAACATAAACAGTACAGAGAAATCTATGGCACGCAGTTATGAACTTGTGTAATAGTATGCAATAAAAGTACTTTGCTGTAGTACAGTGTTATTTCAAATGGTTCAAATATGAAGTCATACCACGATGATGTTCACAGTATTAGAAGGGCATCTAATCTATAGCACTAAAGACCGAAGGTCAGAAGGTCAATGATTTTGAGTAAACAACATTCTCTAAAAGCAGATGTAATGGAGGAACAGTAAGATGGAAAACATGTTAGAGGAAGTCAGAAAGTCACCTTGGTGAGCTCACATCCCAAAGTGCCTCTCTCAAGTTAATGTTGCATTGTTCTGCTGAGCAGAGAGGAAGGGAAACACGCACTCCACCATTAGAAACGATTGGAAAATGTGAGTAAATGTGTGTATGAGGGGAACAATAAGAGCTAGGGTGTTACATTTCACAAGAAGAGAAGAGGATTACCAAGTAATCCCACCATCTAATTCCAGCTGCTTTCACCCATTACATGCACACACACACAACACAGCTGTCTTGGAAACAAGTAACATACAGTATATCTGAATCAGTGCAGCAACACGTTTCATAAGGATTCCTTCTTCTTTTCATTCTGTCGCTGCCTCATCGTGGTCTGGGCAATGGCTTTCCCCTTTTTTTCTTATCAAACACAAGGTGTTCTGCATACACACACACATACATACGTATGTGTGAGTCGCTTACA